TGCATCACCTGCACAAACTGGTATCCCTAAACACTACATACCATAAGCACACATATTAGATCCTCTACAATAACACATAACACATCCCCTACACACTCCACTCCCTGTGAGCGAACTCATGGGTGGGGGGAACTTATGAGTGGACCTTATGGGCATACTCACCGTCAGGCCCTGGGGCCCAGACCTTGAGCTGTGTAAGGGGCCCAAAAAAAATTGAGCTGCTTCCAATTCTCCCAGAACATTGAATTTTGTGACCACAGTTGCAAACAGCCTCCAGAGATCCTGTTCTACACCAGACCAGTGGAGCCAAACTGCAGCCCATCATCATTCTCATCTGCTTGTAAGTAGGCAATCTAGTATATTATTAGTGACACTAATCTATCACATTAAAGGGACACTATAGCTTAATGAAGTGGTTCTGGTGTCTATAGCTGGTCCCTGCAGGCTTTTAATGTAAACACACCGTGTGCAGCACTGGCGTTAGTTCATATGGCAGATCATATGGGTGGGGCATTGTGATGTGACATGTGGGGGCAGCAAATTTTTATTTTGTCTAGGGCAGCAAAAATCCTTGCACCGGCTCTGATCCTGGGCAGGTGCACCAGTCTACTTGACTGGTTTTGCCCCCCGGGCCTAAGGCTGCCAGCCCTCCCCTGGCCTCTGGGGAGGTCTTTTGGCGGCTGCTGGCGGACTTGTCCTGGCGGCCGCTGAGGGAGCTGCTCCCCAGCACGCAGCTGAATGAGACCGGCGCCGGAATATGACGTCATATTCCGGCGCCAGTCTCATTCAGCAGCGCGCGAGGGCGGGAGGGCACTAACACAGGAAGCACCTCTAGTGACCGTCTGAGTGACTGTCACTAGCAATGTCACTTTGAAGCAATGTAAACACTGCCTTTTGTCTGAAAAGTCAGTGTTTACGTTGAAAAGCCTGTAGGGACATGCTATAGACACCAGTACCACCACATTAAGCTGTGTGTGTGCGTCTGCTAGTGAGTGAGCTTGCTTGCATGCGTGTGCCTGCTAGTGAGTGAGCTTGTGTTTTTATGTCAATGAGCTGATGTATATCAGTAAGATTGTTTGTCTATGAGGCTGTGTATCAATGAGCTTGTGTGTGTCACTGAAATGTCAGTGAAATTGCCTGTGTCTGCATGTGCGTATGCTTACTGTATAATTAAACGTTTACCCTGAAAGGACCAATATTTTATATTAGAAAAAGCAATATATATATATATATATATATATACTCAATCATCTGTCCTGGCAAGACATAGCCTTACATATTACACGCGACAATATATGGCGCAGTGACTTATGGGGCTGGCACAAATTTTTTTTCCAGGGCTGCTTTGTATCCCCAGTCCGGCCCTGCTTACTGGCCTATAGTTGCCCGACTCCTCCCTATTACCTTTCTTGTAAATGGGCACAACATTCGCTAACTTTCAATCTTTTGGAACTACTCCTGTTAACAATGATTGGTTAAATAAATCTGTTAATGGTTTTGCTAGTACACCACTAAGCTCTTTTAATAGCTTTGGGTGTATTCCATCAGGTCCCCTTGACTTATTTATCTTTACTTTTGACAGTTTAAATAGAACCTCTTCCTCTGTAAACTCACGTGTAATAAATGACTCATTTATCCTTTTTTTTAACTGAGGTCCCCTTCTTCATTTTCATCTCTAAATACAGAACAAAAATATTAATTGAGGCAGTCAGCTAGACTTGTATCCTCTTCTACATACCTTCCTTCTTTTGTTTTTAATCTAACTAATCCTTGTTTTACTTTTTTTTTCTCATTTATGTATCTAAAAATGTTTTGTCCCCCTTTTTTACTGATTGTGCTATTTTCTCTTCTGTGTGTGATTTGGAAGCTCCTTTAACTTGCTTAGCCTCTTTCTGTCTAATCTTATAGATCACTTTGTCTTCCTCACTCAGGGTTTTTTTATAATTCCTAAATGCTAACTTTTTGTTTTTAACTATTTTGGCCACATCTGCGGAGTACCACAGGGGTTTCTTGAATTTTTTTGCTTTTACTGACAAGCCTAATGCAATTTTCTGTTGCCTTCAATAGTGCGTATTTTAAATAATCCCATTTCTCTTGGACTCCATTTAAATTGCTCCAGTCTGATAATGACTCCTCTACACATGTTCTAATTTTAGAAAAGTCTGTTTTTCTAAAGTCTAAAACTTTTGTTTTTGTGTGGTGTGACTCAGTCACTGTTCTTATATTAAACCACACTGACTGATGATCACTGGATCCTAAACTTTCACCTACAGTAATATCTGACACCAAATCTCCATTTGTTAACACTAAATCTAGTATGGCCTCTTTACAAGTTGGCTCCTCAACAACTTGTTTTAGAGACAATCCCAGTAGAGAGTATAGAATATGTGTGCTCCTGGCACAAGTAGCTAATTTTGTTTTCCAATTTACATCAGGAAGTCACCCATGATGATAACTTCCCCCTTCATTGTCATTTTAGCTATTTCCTCAACTAGTAGATTATCTAACTCTTCAATTTGTCCTGGGGGCCTATAAATCACACCTACACGAGTTACTGTGTGATAACCAAATTCTAACTTAACCCAAACGGAGTCTATGTTTGCCTCACTAACTTTTATTAGGCTAGATTTTATGCTATCCTTCACATACAGGGCCACCCCTCCCCCTTTCTTGCCTTCCCTATCTTTTCTATATAAAGAGTACCCTGGTATTGCTATGTCCCAGTCATTTTTCTCCTTATACCATGTCTCAGTAAAAGCGACTAAATCTACACTATCAGTTGCCATTATTGCCACAAGTTCATGGATCTTATTCCCTAAACTGCGAGCATTTGTAGACATGACTCTAAGCTTATCATTTTTTAACACACTTGCTACAGGCACCTTCTGTCCTTGTTTTGGGGGACAATTGGATTGATGTTTTATCACCCTTTTGCCCCCCCCTCCTAGTTTAAATACATCCTAGCAAAACCTCTGAACTGCTCACTGAGAACATTTGTTCCCTTTTGAGAAAGATGCAAACCATCTTTTTTGTACAGCTTATTTCCATTCCAAACAGAGCTACCATGAGAAATAAAGCCAAATCCTTGCTCCTGACACCATTCACCAAGCCACAAATTAAAGTCCCTAATACGCATCCTCTTGTCGTTCTGAGTGTTACGCACAGGCAGAACTTCAGAGAATGACAGTGTAGAAGCAGCCTGCCGTATATCATTGGCAAAATCACTAAAAACTTCCTTAACCTCTGAAACCTCATTGCAAGCCAAGTCATTTGTCCCTAGATGGACAAGTACATCCAATTCCCCTTCCTGCTTTGCTTGCTTAACAATATTACAGATACGTCTCCTGTCTCTGTGAGCAGTAGCTCCGGGAAGACACCTCACAGGACCACCATTGTCCATCTCCACACCTCTTATGATGTTAGGCCAACTTCTTTCTATTAGGCCTCACCATAGTCTCCAAGCCGGTTTCCACAACACCACTAGCCTCCGTGCCTCTCTCCACAACACCACTAGCCTCAGTGCCTCTCTCCACAATACCACTAGCCTCAGTGCCTCTCTCCACAACACCACTAGCCTCAGTGCCTCTCTCCACAACACCATTACACTCTGAAAGTGAAGAAAATGAATTATGTAGAGCAACAGACTGTGCAAAATGCCTTTTATCCACAACTCTAAGTCTACCAGATTCTACAGTAATCCATCTGCCATTCCTAGTATGTCTCTGTGGCAGTGGCTTTGCAGCAGTTCCAGTCTGAGTTTGTTCACCAGATAATTTACAAATCTCAGACTTCAAAAATACAATTGCCTGCCACAAGATAGAGAACTGTCTACAGATTAGACAACAACCAAACCTCCAAAAAGTGGAACGTGAAACAAATGCATTACAACTATTACACTGAACTAAGTCTGCCATTCCAATGAGAAGAATAATTTAAATCAAACAAATCTTAATTTTTATTTATCCTCCTGAATACCTCAGATTACCTCCAGTTTATCTCCAGAATATCTCCAACAACACACTTAGAAGCAACACTCTCCAGAATATCTCCAACAACACACTTAGAAGCAACACCCTCCAGAATATCTCAAACAACACACTTAGAAGCAACACTTAGATGAAGCAACCAAGCTATATTAGCCAAGCTGATGACAACAACCGTTATATAACTCCTAAAATCACCACCCACTAGGAATGTTTAACACTTGGGTAGGCCTCTGCTTATTTGCAAGCAATAGCTAATTTAAACAGCAACCAATAGCAAGTAACTAATCAAATCAAATGCCTTATAATTACCAACAGGAATTCAAACCTTGTGCATTTAGTAACCTTTTCCTACAGATGAATCTTACCTGTAACAGTAGAAAAGAAAGCTCTTACACAACTCTTAGACAGTTGAAGCTTCTGTAAAAGTCTCCAGAATATCTCCAACTACACACTTAGAAGCAACACTTAGGTGAAGCAACCAAGCTATATCACGCCACGAAGGGGCGGAGCCAAGATGAGAATGTGCAAGTAGCAGGAAAGCCATAAGTGCAGTCGCAAATCACTCAATAGAACATGGGGAGTCACCTGAGTTCTTCGGCAAGCTGCGCACATGCCATCAGACTTACACAGACCATCGGGAAACTGCTATATATATAAGCACTTTGAAGGGCCGGGGGCCCGGGCACGCATTGGATTACCTGTGCAGTCCGGGCCCCCTGGCGCTGCCCCCCCCCCCTCCCGGGCCCTCGGATCATGTCCGAAGTGCCCGACCGGTCAGTCTTCCCCTGATTCCATCTATATACTAAATTTGAAATTAACTTCTATAACTTCTATGTTGGAAAAGATGGGAGGGGATTTTAAATGATTTGAAGTAGGCTTCCCACATATCCCAAGTGCATATGAGCATATACTATTTTATGAACAAAAATGTGAATAAAGATGCTGCACTCAAACAAGGGTTAGAAATAAGTAAATAATCATTGTATTAGTATTGTTCACTATAATGTAAGTACAGTGCAAAACAAATTCTTTCAGTAGGTGTGGTAAAATACTTGTGCTCAAAGTATGGAGCTTAAAATCAGCATATATAAAGATATAAGGGTCTGTTTCTGCTGGTTGCAACAATCAAAATAAATTACAGGCATTAGCTTGTATGGTAGGAGAGTGGGATATACTAACATTGGTTTCTTTTACCATACAATAGTGGGGAATATTATGCAGGAAAAAAGCAGTTGGACATCTGGAGATCATGTCCGAGCAGGGCTGCCCACTTGGGGCAGAATAACCCTTAGAAGGCCCTGTTCGGAAGTGGCATGGTCTCTCCTATCAAGGGAGATGTCTGTTTGGTATCTGACATCATGAATAATACT